ACATGAATTTATATAAATCATGTACTCTTTTTCCCTTGGCTAATTTTTTTTTTTTTCCCTGTCGGGTTTTTATTAGCAAGGTTTTTAATGAGGCATGTAGTAATGTCCAAGGGGGAGTGTTATAAATATATTAATATGGACATTACTAATAAATAATTGGGCCTGAAGTCCATTAGTGAGTAGGATTAGGTTGTAGGGCTTCCCTCTTGTAAACCCTATAAAAGGGTGATTATACTGATGAATAAGAGGATATACTTTTCTGCTCCTTTTTCTTATTCTCTTTACTGCACATCTTTATGTTTGGTTGATTGGTGGATGCTTGGTGAATACAGAAGAGTTCCAATTTACAACAGGATTAACATTTATTGTGGATTAACATTTTTTTTATAGAGATTCATTAATCAAAACATATAATTATAACTGACTTGTTGGCATCGAAAATTATATCACCCCAAAAAAATCGATTTGACGCTAACTATTGCGATATGGGTACTTAAATATATTAATGTTTTTCATGTATCTATGTTATGGAAATACGTGTGCGATCCAGATCATATTCTTCAGCATAGTGAGATTCAAATTCAGCCAGACTTATCGTACGAGGAACATCCAGTAGCAGTCTTGGACCGTAGGGTTCATCGGCTCCGAAACTGAGATATCCCCCTCGTACGTATCAGATGGAATCGCCACGGTGAATCCGATGCTACTTGGGAGCGCGAAGCTGACATTAGAGCTCGTTTTCCTGACTTTGAATTTTGATGTATATACCTTTTTTCTTGTATTCTGTAATATGTCCAGTTTCGTATTTGCGAGGACGGAAATATTTTTAGGAGGGTAGATTGTAATAGCCAAGTTTGTTATTAATAAAGCAATGTATTTAGTTCTGAAGTTCAATCGATTTCCTTTTTGCTAATATTGTTTATTTTAGCTTCCGAGCTAATAAGTTCGACTTTAAGTCGAAAGTCTATACGATTTATTTTCTATAACGGAGTTAATTTCGAAACGTTTATTTTAATAAGCGTGTAGTTGGGATTAATTATTTGAAATCAAGAATATTCAAATTAATTTTCGAAGTCAAGTTCTGACCGAAATCGAGTAAACTCGGTTTAAGTCATGGTGCTTAATCTTAAGCCAAAGTATATCAAGCCCTAAGTCATGTGCACGCGCACCGTGCACTGCCGTGCGCCTGTACGTGCGTGCCGACCTTAGCATTGCCGATAGCAACGCCATTGCCGTGCGTGTGCGCATAGCCACCGTCCATTGCTAGTTTATGTGTTAGTAAGTGCCGAGATAATGTCTAATTAATTCATGCTTTAACCCTAAGTAATTGTCGAGAGAAGATTGAGAATATGATAGATATGGTGCAAATTGCTAGGAGGAATCACCTACTAGCTTGAGCTATGTGGCATGTGCTAGCACAACTTGGTGGTGACTAAGCATATTATGCGCCACCTTGGCATAGTGACTAGGCGAATTTTTATGCCACCAAGGCCTAAGATTTGAGCAAGTGACACCACAAGATTTGAGCTATATTTCACCCTAATCATCTATTACCTATTTAAACTAGTAGTAGTCGTAAGTTAATATTTTCCATGCATAACCGAGCTTAGTTGAGAGAAAGAAAAAAACAAGCCGAGAGAAAAGAAAGAAATAGCCGAGAGCTTAAGTATAGAGTGGAGAAGATAGCTTGTACCTTACCATTGCCGAAGGAAGCACGCGCACTACCGAGCTCACGAGCGAGAGCGCGAGGTCTAGCGCCATTTCACGAGCAATCGAAGGGGTAACCTCATGTTGACCCTCTTTTAATATTTATGTGATCATTTTAGGGAGATCATGTAGAAAATGAATAGTTTAGACCATGTATAGTATCATGTTGCTCCCGGAGGTGCCACAAAGGCCCTCCAGAACCATTTCATGTTTGAACCGAGAACTCCCGAGCATTTTATACATTTTCGGTCATTTTATGTCATTTCATGTTGATCCATATAGCTGTTGCCGGAAAAAGTTGTCGGACGGCCGACGAGGTGCCGACGTAGTGCCTGCCCGCACATAGCGAGCGCAGCACGGCCGGCAGCAGCCTGCGGGCTTGCGGGCTTGCGGCCAACTCACGTGCGTCCAGTTAGGCGTCGTGCATAGCCCGTGCCACAGTGTCCAGTAGCGTGCCGCTAGCGGGCATGTGCGTAAGCGCGTGTAACGCACGCCAGTCACGCACGACAGCACGTAGTCAGCCTGTGTGCGTCCAGCGCCCGTAGCGCGTAGCGAGCGTAGGCAGCGTGCCCAGAGCGTATAGCCGCCTCGCAGCACGCGCATATGCCGTCAGCCAGCAGTGCCCTAACGCATGCTGGCGAGTTCCAGCGCATGCCAACGCGCCCGGCAGCGCGCCAGCGTGCGTAGTAGGCCTCGGTCAGTGCTCAACAGCACGCCCGAGTGCCGTGTGCCGCCAGGGTCGCCCAGCAGCGCCCGTATGGCACCAGTCGCACTAGTGCGCGCGAGCAGTGTTGGCCAGCGTACCCAGTTGCTTATCTGCGGTGCACAGCAGTGCCCGACAGTGCTTGTACGCGTCAGTGCCGAAGCCAGCATGATGGGCAGTGGCCAGGCGTGCGTCCAAGTCAGCAGTGCCCAGCAGCACTCGATGGTCGTTCCTTGCGCTCGCGTTGTGCCAGTCGCACCCACCAGCGCCTAAGTCACGCCTAATCGTGCACAGGCCAGCGCATGTCGCCCCCAACGCTAGCCAGTCATCAACCGTCGTGCCTAGCGGCACTTGGTGGGTACCAGTTGCGTCATGCCGGTGCTAGTGACGCCCGTCAGCGTCCAGGTCGCGCCCAGTCCGCGCGTGCCACCG